ATTCTAATTCTTTTCGACTACAGATGGCATCGTTAACCTTGCACTTGATAGTGATAACTCTTCTGGCGGCGGCAGCTATGACAACGGTAACAGCAGCAACGCGGCAGCGGGGCAGAGGAAAAGCAGCAGCATCCACGACTAGCACCGAAGTGCCAACGCTGCGGGCGCCCCGACAGCGCCGTCCGCCCACTACGCAATCAATTGAAATCCAGTTGTTCTCGAGTCGCAGTCGGAGTCTGAGCCGCAGCAGCAGCACCACCACCACCAGCCCGCCCTTGCCACAAACATCAGATAATAAGCAGCAGCAGCAGCAGCAGCGTCGCCGCTTCACTACCACATCGACAACAACTACAACAGTCGCACCTTCGGCGAAGACCCTGCGGGACCGGGGAAGCGTGAGAGGTGCGCGTCAGCCCCGCGACACGCCCGCGCTGAGCAGCGTCAGCGAATTCGGTGGCAGCAGCAACAGCATCAGCCGCAGTTGGGGCCAGCCGCAAGCTCTACCCAGCAGTGCCATTCCTTCTGTCCACATCGCCAATACTGCCACTTCCGATTTCGCATCCACATCTAGTTTGGCTTCTCGAGGCGGCGCGTTAAAAACGTGAGTCTTAGTACATGATCATATCGTACCCTATAGAATGGATATACGATAGATCTCATATCATATCAATGCACCCGCCAAATATATCCTTCCATAGCTATTTCGTTTCCCTTTTATATTGCTTTCAGACGTCGGCCCACTTGAGGTGCCGTTAATTGTTTTAATTTTATGACAAATATTTTTCACCGATTTCCATTCGTTGACAGGCCGCGGATGATCCAGAGATTAGTGGCTGGACACATACAAAATGCGCAGGGACATTCCACCTACGAGGTGTCGGCGGTGAGTGCCAATAGCTCACACTCGGCCTCCACTTCCCTGCCAACAACGACCACAGCCAAATCCACACCCACGTCGCACTCACGGGGCAATGGCAAGGCAAGCAGCAGCTATCGTCTCGCCAAGCCATATCCAACACCGCCACCATCCCCATCAATATCACCATCCCTCCCAAACCCTGATGACAACGACAACGACGATGACGAGGCGTTGCTGAATGAGGCAGATGACTTCGACAACTGGGACAACGGGATTCTTCGCCTGAGTGCGGGGTCGGGGAAGGAAGCCGAGGCGCCGTCAAAGAAGCCGCTCAAGGAGGACGCGAAAAAGACGCTGGCCGACCAGGTAAGGGATGGCAAGTACGGGCTGATCGAGAAGGAGCTGTTTCGCCGCATACCCAAGCGACCAGGGGTGTTGAGCTATGCCCGCAACTCCGAGGTGCCGCTGGATAATGAACGTAACTACGGGGGACTCAGCGAGCAGGACATCTGGCTTTCTGAGGATCACCTGCTCGTGATCAAGGGAGGCAGCCTTAATGAGGATGAGGATCATGGCGGGGGCCAATGGCCGCCCATAGACGATTACGATGCGCCACCGCGACAAATTAAGCTGCCAGCAAATCCAGCGGTTCCGCCTCCCTTTCCCGTGCAGCTCGAGCCGCATGGGCCGCTGCAGATTATCCGAGATAATCAACTCGAGATCCTCCATCCGCCGCCTGGCAATGCAACGCTATCCGCTGACCTACCCAAGCAGGCGTCCAACCAGGGCTACGCTCCCACCCCGGCCCACACGGCGCATCCTTCTTCCCGGGCGGGAGCGACAACAGCGTCTAAGGCAACTACGCCCCCCTACGTCTATCCGGCGCCCTATGCCCAGTGGCTGCTATACCCCAATGAAACGACCCCGGGCAATGGCCTGCTGAGATCATCGCCTCCACTGTTGGGGCCCTGGCTGATAAACGGGCTGCATGGCAACGGCTCCCTGACAGGGAATACTGCAGCTCTTCCTGGGAATGGCAGCGATTTCGATGAGGACGACCCTTCACTCTATTATCCGCCGGCCTATAGCTTTGTGTACAAAAGTAATTACTCAAATCCGGTGCCGCCGGGTCCGCTAGTTCCTGGGATTGTCCTACCCCCTCCGCCAGATCATTTTAGCCGCTTGGACATCCATTCAACGACCACCACTCGCAGACCCACCACAAGCAGCACCATCTCCACCACGAGCACCACCACCACAACCACCACCAGCACAACCACGCCACGTCCACCTACGTCTCCACTACCGCTCAGGACATCGTACAAGCCCAAATACAATGCCATCAGCTACCTGCCGACTTCTCGCCAGCACCACCCTGCTCCAAAGTATGTTGAGCGGGTGCCAGTGCCCGTGGCGGTTCCCATACCAATCTACCCCATTAACTACACGCCCAGGCCCGAGGCCAAGCTTGTGTTTGTGCCCAGTTCCACGGAGGGCAAGGCCCAGGATATGGATCCGCCGCTCTCAAAGTCCAACCCCATCTACTACGAGTACTTCGAGGCTAAGCGCCAGCCGGGGTCGATCAAGTCCAATGTTATCGAGGACTTTCTGCCCACCAAATCGCCGAAGCGCCATCACCTTCATCATCATCTTCACTACAAGGCATCGGTCGGTCCGTCCAACGACGTGACAGATGTTGTGAACATCACTCCAAAGCCGCGGAACGCCCAGCTTCAGCTAAATGCGGAGTACGATGCCGCCCTGGGGCAGCTTCTGAGGAGCAACCTCATATCGGCAGCACCAGCAACAGGAGCAGCCACCGTAACTGGTCGCTTTCATGCACCAGACTTTGACAAACAGCCCTTCCTGCCCATGGTTAACTACAGTGCAGACGAACAAGACCAGAATGCCTTTAAGGCCATCGTATATCAGCCTCCCCCGTCCCGCCAGCGACAGCTGAGAGTGGGAAAGCAGCAGCAACAGCAGCAGCAGCTTCAGCTGGACACCACGGATGACTCCTATCTACCCGAACGGCAACTGAGAGTAGGCAAGCTGCAGCAGCAGCAGCAGCAGGTCTACGACCCCCAAATCTTCAGCACCCCAGGGCCACACTACGTTGACGATCAGGTCAGGGGAGGAGTCCATCTGCGTCCTCCTGCTCCTGTTCCTGTTCAGACAGGTGCGTTGCAGTTCTGGCAGCGTCCTCCGCCCCAGTTCAAGCGCGTGCGGCAAGGAAGTAAGCATCCGCATCCTCATCCGCACCTCCACCCTTATCCACCGTACTTCGTGCCCAGTTATCCAAGTGCCCCGGCCGGAGAGCCTCTCTATCGTCTGGTACCTGTGGCCCAGAACAAACACTGGCGCACTAAGCCTCAACATCCTCTCCAGCAGGCCCAGCAGCAGTCGCAGCCCATTCAGGTGCCTCCCCACGCGCAGTCCTATCCGGACAGAGCCGTCAACATTGGGCATAGCCTGGCCGGCGACATCTTGGTCAACTACAACAGCAACAATCAGTTTAACCCCCAGGCGGAGTTAGTGCCTCAGGCTCAGTTGGCAGCGCCACCGCCACCGCCTCTGTCTTACCAGGCCCAGAGTGGCCAGGGTCTGGGGGGTCCGCTCTGGTCGGAGCGTGAGAAGCCGGCGCGGCAGCCACGTGCCCAGTATACTGAGCAACAGCAACAGCAGCAGCAGCAGTAGACGATGGAGATAAAGATGGTTTCTATGTCATTGATAAGCGTAATGTCAAAATGTGATCTATGGGGAGGACAATCCAACAGTAAGCCCAGCTTTTCCCAAAATTAAATTATAGTATTGCTGATGCTGATTTTGCCTCATTTTCGATTCTTCTTTTCCATGTATTCAAAGTTCTCCATTCCGACCAAAGTATTTCAGTGGCACATTCCTTGTCAGTGGATAAGTAGAGATAGTTTTATCTGTTTTATCCAACGCGTACGTCCTTGTCCGTCAGATCTGATGGCAATGGTTTTACAAGTATTTGCTAGGCTTAACGCTCTACCAGGAGCTGACGCGTTTATTTGAGGTGGAGCCAATATTGCACAATGCACACAGCTGGCATTGAGGCTTCATATATGTATGTACTTTGTTCCCATTTCTTCTTTCCGATACAACAACATCAGCATACCCGGATCTGGCTCCATAGCCTTCCTTTCAATGGGGAGGCACAAGTAATTAGTGATGGAAAATGAGGAAAGAACTAATGTTCTTCATTCCTTACAAATATTACCATGGGATTTTTATGGTTTACATCGACTTCTTCCCTTCCAAACGTTATAAACTTGCTCCCCGAGTTATATTCTACAAATTATAAATAAATATATTATGTAGAGCTGGTCATTTAAGATAAATTATAATTTGAGGCCTGTTCACTCGCCTCATTTGTGACAAGCATCGATATACGTATCGCGTATCGCTTACAGGGTTACACATCTATCCAAACTGGATGTGCGCTTCAAGGCTTTTAGCTAATATGCAAGATACACAGATATCTATATATGTATACATAAATATGTATATATAGCAACATGATAAATATATTCGTGAACCTATGTGAACGATGAAGTGTACGCAAAATAATCGATTAAAGTTATTCGTGCATTACACAAAACCTAGTTTAAGGGAGAAAAAACGGATAATTTTCTTTGTTTGATATCCTTAATTTTCTGTTCAATCCTGTTTATACACACATGCTATACCACATACACTATATGTACTATTTATTGTTTCCCTTTGAATGTTTTCAAAATCCATGCGAAATTTTGTATAAAAGCCATAACAACTAAGGTCACTGTAAGTTACTAGAAACGCTGCAACAATCACGTTATGCAACTAATAAACATGATAAATAATCGTACGCAAATACCATATGTTAAAATTTAAACAATTAGATATACGACCTTTTTTTTTGTTTATTGTAATAAAAGAAAATAATTTGTAGACGAGAAATTTTATCATCGAAATAAAGCGAATCAAATTGAAATTTAAAATGTTACATGTCATTGCCATCGTTAGTTCAGATATACGGACATCTGGCAACCCTAACAGCTGAGCGATGTAAACAAGTCCGGTGCATGCGCAGTGGAGGGGAGAGAGCCAGGAGCCAGTGAGCAGGTTAAATGGGGGAGGCTTGAACAAAAATCGATGAGGGAGGTCCCCCTTGACGAGGACCTCCACAGGCACTTGAATTGACTTTGGGCCGTAAAATGATTACAGGCCGAAAGCTAAACTAGACGCTGAGAGAGTGAGAGAGCATGTGCGTGTGGAAGAGCGTCGCAGCGAGAGAGACTGTGCAAGTGAAAATGAGAGCGGGATAGCGGAGCAACAGCAAATGAAGCAGCAGAACAGAAAACGGGCGAAGTTCAACCCAGGAGTGCGAGTCCCCAGCAAATTGCAAATTAAACTGCTGAATAATACTATGCTATTCTAGTAACAATTCAATCCCCTAAAATACAATAAAACCCAAGTCGGAGCCCCGCTCTCGGAAGTGTATGCTCGTGTGCGTGCGTGTGTGTGTGCGTGTGTGTGCTTGGACCTGGGTCTTGCCGTAACTCCAGTAAATTTCTGCACATAGCGGTGAGAAGGGGAGCAGAAAAGCGGAGTCAGCGACGAAGAAAACGGAAGCCTCGCACAAGGCGGAGGAAAAATCTCGTTAAGATGGAAAGCAAACCGAGGAAATGACCGGCAGCACCACCAGCAGCAGCAGGTGAACTTGTGGAACTTCTTCGGAAAGGAGTGCCCCCGCAACTAAATAGATCGCCGTGTCCCTTTATGAACAGACACACACACGCACACACACACACACACGGATACGAACAGGTCACGCACACAACGAGAAGGCCAAAATAGCTCAGGGCCTCTCCGTCGCCCTTACTTCACCACCTACGTGACCCGGCTCCCACGCAGCACGGCGATTATAAATAGCTTTAGCTTTGCCGAGTCCAGGACTTGAGGCTGGTTGTACAATGGTAACAATGAACTCGGAGGCAGACAAAACTCAAGCAACCAATGCTACCCTGGCCATGAGCAACGCTGAAAAACACCCAGCCGTGGAGAGCACTAGTTCACTTCCAACATCCCCACCAGCCACAGCCACGGCCGCAACAGAAAGCTGCGCCCCAGCTGCAATATCACCACCAGCTCCGGCTCAAGCTACAACTCAAACTTCAGTTCCCACTCCTGCCCCAGAAGCTCTGGCCAATGGCAACAGCAATTCCAACATTCAGGAAGTGGTGGCCACCACCAGCTCAGGCAGCGCGGCCGCCACTACGGCAGAAGGAGGAGCAACGGTAAACGGAGCGGGAGGGGTGGTCACTTCGGCGGCGGCTGCCACGCCACCCCCCTCGGCCAAGACGGTGAATGTCCGCGATACCACTACCTCGGCGGGGGTCAGCAGCAGCTCGGCTAGCAAGTCTAGCGGCCTGCTGACAGTCAACAGCAATCATCACCATCATCATCATCATCAGCAGTCCTCGTCGTCGTCGACATCGTCGCAGCAGCAGGCGACCCCGTCTACGGTGGTCATGCAGTCGTCGTCACAGCACCAGCGCAGTAATAAGAACGAAGATGCACCCAACATACTCGTGTACAAAAAGGTGGGGGCTGCGAAATCTTAATTCTTAATTCTTAATCTCAACAATAGTAATGACGAAGAAAAGAACAGAATTTTCGCTAAGATGCAATTTCTGATGCGTCGATGTTTCCTGTCGATGTGGGCCATACCGATCTGGATATCACCTAGAAAGAGTATTCTCCAGATAATTCTTTGCCAAATGAGAGAAGTCACACTTATTCAATATAATTGACATTTTTGTATTGATTTTTCTATTAATTATTGGATATAATAACCTCAATGTAAAATATTCCCACTATAGATGGAAACCATTATTGAGAAGATGCAGGCGGAGTCGACCGGTGTGGCCGTGCGCACTGTGAAAGCGTTCATGAGCAAAGTTCCGTCTGTGTTCACGGGCGCGGATCTGGTGGCATGGATACTGAAAAACTTCGATGTGGAGGATGTGACGGAGGCCCTGCACTTTGCCCACCTGCTAAGCTCGCATGGCTACATCTTTCCCATCGACGATCATGCGCTGACAGTCAGGAACGACGGCACCTTCTACAGGTTTGCGGTCCAAGCTCACAGCATGCTTTTCGACAGGTATCGTAATATGATTATCAAGATTTCAGACGCCCTACTTTTGGCCCTCGAACTGCTGGGAGCCGGAAAACACAGACTATGCGGTCTACCTATGCAAGCGCACCATGCAGAACAAAACGCGCCTGGAATTGGCCGACTACGAAGCCGAGAACCTGGCCAAGTTGCAGAAGATGTTCTCTCGGAAATGGGAGTTCATCTTCATGCAGGTAAGTATCGAATAGGAACTGAGCCACGACCCTATTTATGCTTTACATTCCCCCAACAGGCCGAGTCACAGAGCAAAGTGGCCAAGAAGCGGGACAAGCTGGAGCGCAAGGTGCTCGACTCACAAGAGCGCGCCTTTTGGGACGTGCACCGTCCCATGCCAGGGTGCGTCAACACAACCGAGATCGACATCAAGAAGGCTTATCGACGAGGCGGCTCCAGCCATGGAACTGGTTCCTCCGGCGCCTCCGTGGCCAAGAATCCAATCGAGCAGCTGTCTCGCATCATTGCCCTGCGGAAACAGAAGCTCGAGCGGCGCACAATCAAAGTGTCCAAGGCGGCCGAGGCGTAAGTGCTGGCCCACATTTTCCAGCTCGATTAATACAGAATTTGTGTGGTTCGCAGTTTGGTTGCCTACTACGATCAGTACAATGAGTTCGATTACTTTATAACCTCTCCTGAGCTGCCCAATCCCTGGCAAACGGACAGCACAGAAATGTGGGATACGGAGAAGAATAGGTACGTGATTCCCAATTGATTGTCAAAGTAGTCATGTCTACATAAGTCTGGACTTAAGTCCTTCTCGATTAGCATATACAGCATATAGTACATGTTTATTACTCCCCCTGTCCCCCGTTTGCTATGTGTTTTTTTTTTTATTATTTCTGTTGGAACGTTTAAGAGCAAAGCTTACATTTGCATGGATAGTATGTTTTATATAATCCATACTTACTTCGAAAAAACGATAAAAATATCAAATTTTAAAATTAAATCTTTCCAATTTCGTAAAACAAAACTATATTTTACTCTCTATGGAAATCATTACGAATTGCTCAATAATGGCCTTCCAACTGTTAGGCCACACAATTAATAAAATTTGTTTGGTTTTGTATTTCCAATCAAATAATTTCCACGTCCACATTGCTAGAAAATTTTCTCATGGGCACGTTTTTTTTTTGCCCATTGAGGAGTATTGTATCAGCATGAAAGAAGTGAAACTTATTTATAACTATATATATTTATGGACATAGTAAATACATGCATTTTCGTTTCGAATTTTGTATCCTTGGTAGATCGTACTTAATTGGGCACCATGGTTTCAGCCTAACACTTAGATCCCTTGATGATTACTACTGATTTGTACTATCTCTCCATTACAGCAAAGAAGTTCCTGTTCGCCGCGTAAAGCGTTGGGCCTTCAGTCTGCGGGAGCTGCTGAACGATGCCATTGGACGTGATCAGTTCACCAAGTTCTTGGAGAAGGAGTACAGCGGCGAAAATCTGAAGTGAGCGAAAGTGATATCAAAGCTAGATATGCAAACTAATGCCATCTGCTATTTTTCTGTTCAGGTTCTGGGAATCAGTGCAAGAGATGAAGGCGCTGCCACAGTCGGAGATCAAAGAGGCCATACACAAGATCTGGCAGGAATTTCTCGCTCCCGACGCCCCGTGCCCAGTAAATGTGGACTCAAAGTCCGTGGAACTGGCCCGGGAGGCGGTCAACTCACCGAACGGCCCAAATCGCTGGTGTTTCGATGTGGCCGCTTCACATGTTTACCACCTGATGAAGAGCGACTCGTACTCGCGCTACCTGCGCTCTGACATGTACAAGGACTACTTGAACTGCTCGCGAAAGAAGATCAAGTCCATACCGAATCTGTTTGGCGTGAAACGTTGAGACACACTCCGTGGACTGCCACGCTTTCAGGTTGCGTGAGATGTTGGATTGGATCACGTAATTGTGGATTGGACGCGTAAAGTTAGCGGGGGGAAGAACCTTGATACATACTCCAGTCAGGTACTCAAACTCGTATTTGTATGTATTTAAGCGATGTTACTTATTTATTACTTGCCACTGTGTCGCGTGTTCTCGTTTATGGAGATTTTTTATTAGTATTTGTTATACATATTAGTTACCTCGACGTGCCCATCGTGATCTTGCAAGGAGCTTCGTTCTGTTTTCCCTCTAAAATCACAATTCTCACAGCACTTTCCCATTCTCCTCCTGAAAGCCCTTTTCTTCATACTTTATCTCGCGCTCTCTCTCTCTCTCTCTCTCTCTCTCTCTCTTTCTGTGTCCCCCTTCTGTGACCCTGTCTCTTTCTTTCTCGACGAAAACACCACTTAAGATGAAAAAGAAACTGCCAAGAGAATGTTAGAAAATGGAGACAAACACAAAAAAATAAATTGTAAATCAAACATGGAAGTGAAGCAAAGCCAACACCAAAAACCGTCGAGACCTTATTCTCGATTAAATGATGCATATAAATACATAACATTTCCAAAAATTATTCAGTACATAATTATGAAAAAACAAGGAAAAACACCATACCGAAACACTTAAACCAAGCAATTGTCAAGTGTAACCGATAATACTTAAAAAAAAAAGTAGAAATACAAAATACGAAAACAATACGAAAAAATGACAACCTAACCTAAAGAAAACAAGTGTGCTAACACACAAAAAAAAGCAACCAACTGAATTGTCAAACTATAACCAAAAACAAAAAAAGAATCATAGAAGAGAAAAAACGAATACCCTAGAAAAAAAAACATTTAACGGAGTCTAAGAACTATAATCGCATAAGTAATTAGCTTAAAATGAAAATCGATCGAAAATTAACCTTGAACTGGAAAAAAAGTTTGCAAACAAAGAAAAACAGAATCCACCAAACTTCTGGTCAAGCATCTTCTGTCCACACATTCCCATACACACTTCGGCATTCCACCTTTTTCGAGTTCCTTCCTTTTCGAGGATTTTCATGTGAGTTCGTTGAAAATGTAACGTGTGTCAGCAGCATTACCATGGCTATGGGCTGTTTCTATCCTTTTCGTTGCAGTCACACAGTATGCGCACGCGCAGACACAGATTTAAGCCTAGACAAGCGCACTCACATATCGATAAGAAGTTAGCTGGAAAGAAAAACATAGGTATGATTTTATTCATGTAAAATTGTTCTGTCCAGCGTGCGTAAACTTCTGTTAAAGAGAGCGGGGGCTTTAATTTTGAATAAATGTATACTAAACTATTTTCTCTTGAATATTAGTTGTTGGATATGAGATGGGAGACAGAGTGATAAAAAGGAAAAGTCAAGTTCAGCTGGGGACAAAAAGTACACGAGAAAGTTAGGGTAAATAGGGTCAAAGGTGTGATAGCTGATAGGAAGTTAGCCAAAAGAGAGCTTTACAATAACGGAGATAGCAGCGACGATCCAGCTGGGAGAGTATATACATAACTTAGAGTGCCAGCCAGAGTTTGGATGTCCCTCACTCCCTCCCTCTCTATCTCTCTCTCTTTTACAAATGTGGATTACAGCAGATTCCGGGGAAATCCATAATAACTAAACCATAATAACTACCTACATATATATGATATATGTAAATGTATTTACACTAACATCAAGCTGATTTTGGGGAAAGTCTCCACACATTTTGAAGTAGCAATTAGACCTAGAATTAAGCCAAATGGAAAGTAAACTAAAGGCGGAATACTAAAACTATAGGAATTACTCGTAAATACATATTTAACATGCACACAAAAGGTACACAATTGCCAGAGGAGCCGGAAGCGTTGTCCACTTTTGGGCCAAAAATCAAGAAAAAAATTGTGTATTGTAACTAAAGCATATTTAAACGTTAATTATAATGGATTCCCGTTTGTAGTGGTGTAAACTGTGTGTTTGTAAATGGTGTCTAAAACTTAAACAAAGGAAATAGTTAATAATATACCTATACAAATGTATGTGTATATATAGATACATGCATATACATATAAATATTTACTTTAAGTATAATATACAAATACTAACTATATCTCAATGTGCGTCTGTATGTGAGTAGTAGAAACCCAAATCGATTTCGGAAACATCAAATAGTTATTCTAAAAAGGAAACCAAAACCAAATCTGTGTATCCACGCACTCTGATTTCATCTTTGGCTTCTTATCGTTACTTTTTGCTAGAATGTAGAATAGAATACAAAACATACATATAAGATGTTCTTTTCAGCATTCCTTCCTGTTTTTTTTTTCCACCCACCTCTGTATAAAACTAAAATTAGAATAAATTACTATAAAATATAAAGCATCCTTGTAAACTATATTGAGGCAAGGAGTAAATTAATGAAAATTCCAGAAAAGTGGCAAAGCTTGGCACCCACTTGTTTCGCCTGTTTACAGCTAAACAAATATGCAAAAAATTAAATAAATATTCTATATATGTATGTATGTACTGTACGCAGAAGCTATTCACCCGCAATAAACCAGACAGCAAAGCAAAACGTTTTTCTTAGGTTATCGTATACCAAAGCTGCATCAACAACCACAACCAGAACAACAATTATTACACTGTGCGACAAAATGAAACTTTTAAAATGTACTTTGCACGAGACATAAATTAGGTTATGGGCCTGTAGGCATTGCTTAGTGTATTATTAAACGGGGTTGATTTTTTTTTTAAATTTTAATGATTAATAGCTAATTTCGTTGAGAATCAATGCCACTAAAGAGCTAACGTCTAAAATAAGGACCATGCAATACAAAAAATATTATAAAAAATGAAAAAGGTAAAGAAACATTAAAAATCGAAAAAAAAAAAATGTTCTTTTGGTCGCTACATTTTCAGGTATATCCACTCTATCGACACGAATAAAAAAAACTGCGAAAGGTCGTACCGTGGATATCGGCGCTGCAGACTAGTAAAAAAAATTTTAAAGGTGACAAGTCACCCAATCGCGGCATTTTATCCAAGCCAACAACCTAATTTTTGCCTCGTGCAGAGTAAAAAATTACTTTCGCATAGTGTTGTTAAACTACAATCAAGAAATACTACGAAAAGAATCCGTGTTAATTGTAAATTGTTCAGCAAGAAAAACTAAACCCCACTAAATAAAAGGTTAATTTAAGCAAAAGAAAAATTTTTTATGATAACGAAACCCCCAAATATGTACTGAACGTTGGTAACATTTATTGGTCAGATTTCTGTATGTTACTATGTGTATGTCCCAAATAGTATCAGTGCGCTTTTCAAAACTCTAAACTCTAAAACTTCTTTGCTTGGCTGGGCATCGGCAGCGGTTGAGGATCGTGGAACGCAACTCGCAACTTCGTCACCATTGAGGCTTCTTCAGATCCATGTTGGGTTCGCTTGGGGGTTTCCCGGTCCCATTAAGCCAATTTGTAATATTTTTTTTTGTCTTTTTTTCTATATGCTACTTTTTATGGCGCATGAAATTCTCAGGTTTATTTTCACTTCGGCTTCTTGCGCTTCGCACAACGGGATTTCCGGCGTGGCTATGTGCAATCAGACATCTGCTTGTTACCTGTGTTCTCAGGCCTAGGTGCGTCCTGAATGAACTGGTGATTGACCTCGAACTACTGCACGTTATTGGGATGCACTATTGTGCGATCAACGGAGGTCTCTGGCTCAAAGCTATTACATTTTTTGTCCTGTGTGGGGAGCACTCGGTACGAACCGCTTGTGAGGACGTTTGACCAATAAAATTCAGCTTGTTTTCGGCTTAAGCCCCTCTGTTGGAAGGCGGTACTGGGATTATAAGTGTAAGTGGATGGTAGATTCAAGTCACCTTAGCACAGGCCACAGAGATTCCCCTTTGCTCCTCGTTCTTGATCTTTGGGAATTGACTCCATCCTCCAATTTTGATCTCCACCATAGCTCCTCGCTGCAAGCGATACTGCACGTTATAAGACGCCCCGAAGGAATAGTGTGATGCGGCCACGCCCGCAACACTGGGTATTTCCCGCTGATCCTGCAACGGATTCGTTAAAGCGGCACCCAGGTCATGTTTTTCATCAACGTGCGCGTATCAGCCTACAGCGTTTAATCACACAAATCAACCGCCATTAATCTTCGAGTTTCTTTTTAAGGTGCAGGTTGCCATTCACCTGTGCATTGCAGTTCCGTTGAACGTTGTGCCACATTCTAACTCCGCAGTAGTTTTAGTTCGTCAAAGTAATTTCCAGAATTTGGAATAACCATAGCCAAATCGCATTGATTTGATGTGAAGTCTTTAAAATTAGCTTGAAGGCTTGTGACATCCTTGTACATCCGTATGTCTGACCTGGAAGCCAGGGACACAATAACTCGGATTCTTTGCTTAAAGACCTGGACGCAACATTAATTATGGCCGCCGTCTGTACCTGTAGAGGAAAGAAGAAGCGTGGGGTATATTTCAATAGGCCATCTGTCTGGTCTCTTGCACAGCACAGAAGGTTGGGATACCCTAAAATATGATCTATAGATTTAATGTTCACGATCTGTGCTGACTGGGTACTTGGTATACTGTATGGTTAGTGCTTCAGGTAATCAAATGGCACGACCACGACTGTATCCTGCAGTGATGCAGGATCATGGCTGAAAAGAAAAATGGCAACAGAACTGGCCGATAATGGAGAAAATAATAAAAATCTCCTTGAGCATGCCAAATCAGTTTCGGCGAAAAATGATATTTCCAAGGTCAAACAGGTGAAGCTTTAGGACCATCGTAATAGACTTGCTTAGTCTTCAACTTGAATACCAAAAAATCTGTTAAAATTGCCAAAATATGCCAGGAAGTTAACAGAGTTAAATGTAAAATCGAACTCAAGAAAAGCCTGGAGATTCCTCAAAAATCTAAAAAACTGTCAAGAGGACACCCCAGAAATTTTCGACCCTGACAAAGCTGGGCCATACCTGGAATTCCTTAACGAACAAATAACATCAGAAGCAAAGGATGTAGACGAAGAAATGTACTCAACCAAGAAAAATTAAAATCCTTTCTCTTCCTTGGAAGATTTAGAGGCTGTGTTAGTCAGAAACAGAACGAGGGGGAACGTTGTGAGTTGCTGCGGACACCGCAACTCTACAGTTATACCCGATACTTAGTCAGTATGGCTCTCCTCCGGCAGACGCCGCTAATATTAAACGACACGACAAAGAGTTAACCGCTGTTTCTTCCTCGCTATCTGATAAAGATCGTATGATAGTTCTTGGTGACTTCAACTTGCCAGGAACTGTTTGGTCTTCGGTAAACTAGTCTAGTAACCTAGTGCCCATGTCACGACAAGACTTTGTTGACGGCTTTCCTGACCTGTCCCTATCTCAAGACAATTATGTGAAAAATTCCTTGGGTGGATTGCTTGATCTGTGCTTTGTATCGGATCCGACCATGGTGTTGTTAACCCGAGCACTTCACTATACCTGTAGGCGCCTAACATCCTACATTCGAAGTGTGGCTAGATATGGGACCAACTGTATTGGATCGGTCGAGTGGGGTATCTAAACGTGTCCGCTGCTTTCGTAAAGCCCAGTTTGCGAAGCTTAATAACCTCATTATGGATTTTGATTGGTCCTTCTTATACTTGGGCTTATCCGATTAGATCTGGAAAACCCCCTTGGTTTACCAAAGAAGTATCCATTCTAAAAACTTAAAATCAAGACTTTCTAACAAATTTCAAGAAGTTGGCTCTCCTCGCTATATAATAGCTCGGTCAAACTTTTTAGTTTTTAATGCACAATGCTCTAAGAACTACCTATCTCGATGCAGGACCCTAAACAGTTTTACTGCTTCGCAAACAGTAAGCGTAGAATGGCCGCCCACCCAACCTCGCTATCATATCGTAATACGTCGGCAAATAATGATCAGGCAATTGCCGACCTTTTTGCCCAATTTTTCCAAACGACCTATTCTGAGGAAAGCTATTCTGTTCATTCGACCCATACGGTTTACCGAGGTCGAACGGCATGTTCAGTACCTTGTTAAATGATTGTTCTTTACTTCATGATCTTCGACTAGTCAGGCCGGTGTTCACCGGGTCCAGACGGGGTTCCAGGTTGTGTACTCAGGTACTGCGCCGAAGCACTGTGTGGACCCTTGCTTAAGCTATTCACCCTGTCCATCGATTATTTTATCTTCCC